CAAGTCTCTCTAATATTGTGAAAATTCCAGTTTTTGCAACACATGTTACAGATGGTTAGCAATCAGCTTGAAACTGAGGAAATATTAACAGGTGTTTCTCTTTTTTTTTCCCCTTCCCTTTTTTTGCTTTTGTTTTCGTTCTGCTCTGTTAAATTTATCATTCATTTATTTAAAGTATTTTACCCTCCCTTCCTCCTTAAAAGGACGCAAGGCAACTTACCTCATTAAAAGACAGCATTTAAAGCTGATAACAGAAAATGTACAAATACTAAAACGGACCAACCAAATAGTACACCAACCAAATAGTACACTAAAAATCATGAGCAATACGAAAACACATTCGAAGCAGCAAAGTACAACCATCCATTTATAAATCCCCCTCAGGCAGCCAGTCATTAAAGGAAGGCTTGCCTGAAAAGAAAGGTCTTGGCCTGCTTACAGAAGGAGAGCAAAGATGGGGCCCGTCTGGCCTCCAGTGGGAGAGAGTTCCAAAGTCTGGGAGCAGCCACAGAGAAGGCCCTCTCTCAGTGTCCTCATCAAATACACCTGTGAAAGTAGCAGGACTCATCTGTAAACGGCCAGTGGGTTGTATACTCACTGCTGATTTTTAATATGCAAATATTAGGTCTAGAAAAAGTTCCTTTGGGTTGCAGTTCACAAAATCCTTCAAACAGGGGAAAAGACAACAAATTAACGAATCCCAGGGATCCACTCTGCTGTGGCTCTTGAGCAATTCCACGCAACACCTGTGAAAGTAGCAGGACCCATATGTAAACGGCCAGTGGGTTGTATACTCACTGCTGATTTTTAATATGCAAATATTAGGTCTAGAAAAAGTTCCTTTGGGTTGCAGTTCACAAAATCCTTCAAACAGGGGAAAAGACAACAAATTAACGAATCCCAGGGATCCACTCTGCTGTGGCTCTTGAGCAATTCCACGCAGGAGGCTTTCAGGGGTGGCTGCACTACATTCATATGCCAGACTAACTTTACAAAACCCATTTTAATTTCAGGTGCTCAGCAGCTACTATTAAGTAATGGCTCAGCACATCGAGAGCATGCCTTGACTTCCCTGCAATTTTAACTTTATTTCACCTTTACCAGTCTGATAAGCACAACATGCAAAGGCTTTTAAGGGACTGGGTATGTTTTAACACTTTTGCCCTTTTACTTGTTAATGCAGCTGTAAATTTGTTGACTTGAATTATTATTATTTTTTTACAGGTCAGTAGCTCTGGCAGCAGGGACAAAGCATCACCGCATGTCAGACGCTCTACTGGATCTGAACAGCCCTGTCTCCCACCACCCCCACCACCCCTGAAAGGGTAGGATTTATCATAATTCAGAGGGTACTGGAGGAAAGAAATCTAATCCGTCTAAGGAATCATAGATTAATTGAGTTGGAAGGGGTCTATAAGGCCATCGAGCGCAACCCCCTACTCAATGCACAAATACAAATCGAAGCAGATCTGACAGAGGGTTGTCTAATATTCTCTTGAATGCCTTCAACGCTGGAGTGCTCACCACCTCCCAAGGTCATAGGTTCCATTATGGTAGTCTTCTAACAGTTAAGACATTTTTTCCTGATATCCAGCCTAAATCCATTAGATAGCAACTGTCGCCATGCTCTGCTCAATGGCAGAATGTCCCTGCACCTCTTAGTGACACTGTCATGGGTGCTTAACTCTGGGTAGACCGGGACACAGCCCCTGGCATATCAGAACATGGCACAAGGAAAATGCCCCCTCTTCTCTGCTTTCACAATTGCACTGTGGTTGGAAAATCCACCTTTCCCCACTGCAGCCCTCGGAAGTTCCTAAAGACTAGTGGCCATTATTACTTGGGAGATTCTGGATGCTATAGACCAGAAAATAATTTTTCCCAGACCCTGAGGATGCAACGTCATAGGTTTGTGCTGCACACAAAAATAATGGCCAACACTCAAAAGAGGGAGACGGTCAATTCTCTTTTATTCTTTTATTTTTAACCGCAAAACTCAGCCCCTGTGCAAGTTGGAGGGGTTGTGGGAATTGTAACTAATTCCCCCCTCAAAAAAAAGAAGAAGTTGCTTTTCCCAGCTCACGTCAAACACAGCAAGATGCTCCCCCTTGCTCCTTTGAGTGTTTTAGGTTAGTGACGATGAATTTCTTCTCATTTCCAAACAATGCAGCGACCGGCTTGGATGTACTTACTGCTGGGGGTTGAAGTATTGCAACATCTAAGGCAGTGGTCCCCAACCTTGGGTCTCCAGATGTTCTTGGACTACAACTCCCAGAAGCCTTCAACACCACCTCTGCTGGCCAGGATTTCTGGGAGCTGAAGTCCAAGAACATCTGGAGGCCCAAGGTTGGAGACCACTGATCTAGGGGACAACAGGTTCCCTACCCCTGATCAAGGTACAGCCTATCAAACTGCCAGCTTGCCAAGCTGGATAGCTCCATGTTGGGAGTTCGATTCCCCCACTGGGCCCCCCTAACAGGGGCTGGATTCAATGACCCACAGGGTCCCCTTCCAGCTTTGCAGTTCTGTTATTATAACCACCTAGAGCAGTAGTTCCCAATCTCATGTAACCCAGATGTTCTTGGTCAGAAACTCCCAGAAACCCTGGGCAGCACAGCTGGTGGTGAAGGTTTCTGGGAATTGCAGTCCAAGAACATCTGGGTGACCCAAGGTGTGGAACCACTGACCTAAAGAGAGGTAGCATGCCAATCAGACACCCAGAATTAAACACAACTGCTGTACGATATGGAAACTCAAGCTGGCACAGCTTTTTAGAGGTCAGAACTTAAGTTTAGCAAGGGGTGGGGAGGGGAACCGTAGCAAACAACACCTACATGCAGTTGGAGACATCTTCCTGGAGGAGGTAAGCATCTCTTTAATTATGCAACTGTAAATCCCTTGCACAGCTGAAGTTTATTTATAAACCTGAGGAAGAAAGGCAAATCTTCCTGCTTGTATTTTACTCCAATTTTATGTAGCAATGGCTTTTATCCCCTGGGTTTCCCAAACTCCCGGTTGCCCTCTCAAGAGCGTTGCGGCGACTTAACTCCTTCAGAAGTGGACCTGGCTGAGATACCATTCAAATTCCCACATCTGTCTTAAGGATCGATCCTCCCTCCCTCCCCTGCACTCATTTCTAAAGACGGATTTGTGAGCCACACAGAATGAACTGTTCTGTAAGTGCCTTCCTTTCCTTTTAAATAACCACAGGGGCACAGTTTGTAAAGCTCAGCTTTAAGGAAGAACAAGCCATTTGCAAAGTCCTCTATGTGGTGGCGCTGCGGGCTAAACTGCAGTTTTAGGGAAGAACAAGCCATTTGCAAAGTTCTCTACGTGGTGGCGCTGCGGGCTAAACCGCAGACGCCTGTGCTACAGGGTCAGAAGACCAGCAGTCGTAAGATCGAATCCACGCGACGGAGTGAGCTCCCGTCGCTTGTCCCCGCTCCCGTCAACCTAGCGGTTCGAAAGCATGCAAATGCGAGTAGATTAATAGGGACCACCTCGGTGGGAAGGTAACAGCGTTCGGTGTCTAAGTCGCACTGGCCATGTGACCACGGAAGATTGTCTTCGGACAAAACGCTGGCTCTATGGCTTGGAAACAGGGATGAGCACCGCCCCCTAGAGTCGAACACGACTGGACAAAAATTGTCAAGGGGAACCTTTACCTTTACCTAGCAGGTGCAGCAGCAGATTCTGAGAGCTGTAACCCTAAACATGAATTTTCCCAAACAGAGCCCAGCCAGCAGAGTCAGTGATAAGGAACAATATGATTGTGAGGACAGGTGGGTTGTTGTTGATGCCATTGTGCTGTCAGACCAGACAATACTTAGTATGAATTTATAAGAGGTGCCCCGTTTGAAAGGTCTCTCTATGTTGACATAGCAGGCAATTTTCTTCTCCCCTGTATGTCACATTTAGCATGCTCTGTTTTGAGACTAGATATTCTGGAATGTACAAACTGGCTTAATTTGTAGGTCTGATTTTCCATGCTGGGATCTCTGAGGAAATCCCATAGTGTGAGTCGAAAAGCTAAAATGTGAGAATATGCAATCTCCTTAATGTGTGATTTGATCCTTAACTTATCAGTGGAAAGTTATGCATTCAACATGAAAGCACAGCTGGATAGCTCAGTGGTTTAGGCACCCAGCTGTGAAGCCAGAGGTTGGAAGTTCGATTCCCCACTGTGCCTCCTTGACAGGGATTGGGCTCAACAATCCATAGGGTCTCTTGGAGCTCTGCAGTTCTAAGATGATGATGATGATTATATAATGTGATGAAAACATTCCGGATCCCAGAGCAAATCGATTTCTAAGTATACAGATGTCTAAGGCAAGAAATGTTACATGCCTTCTCTAGTCTTGCAAACTGCAACATGGATCTTTTTGTAGGGAAATGTAATTCCCCTTCTTCCCCATCCCTACAGAAGAGTAACAGGAGCTGAGCCTTCTAAGCTTGAAAAGGTCACCTTATTAGACCACTTGAGCCTTCTCCGAAGCTTGAAAAGGTCACCTTATTAGACCACAACTCTCAAAAGTTGCTGTCAGAGAGGCTGCTATAGATTCTGAGAATGGTAATCCAGAAAGTAACTTTTTCAATCTCTGTAAAAGTTTCTCTCTTCTCTGTTCTTACCGACCTCCAGTTTTTTCTCTCTAAAAATTAGACATCTTTGATTCATTTTAGGGTCATACTTAGCATGCCTTCAGAAATGGTGCTCCCCTAAGAAATAAAAGAGATCTATATATCACAGTCCACACTTTTACTTACTGCTCTATTTTTCATTTAGTGTGCTCTATTTTACGATTGGTCATTGGAAGGCAAACACCGGCTTAATTTGCAAGTTTGACTGCTGAGGCATTTGTTGCTGAGGAAATCTCAGTTTTGGAAAGAAATGAGTCAACTGTAGAAAATTTGTATTCATTTTAACATCTAGTTTGATCTTTATACAGTAGCTGTACAACACACACACATGCATATACAATTCAAGGAATATGGGGACTTACCATTTTTGTCAGCTCGTCTGAAGATCTAGAATTAAAGAAATACACACATTTAGCATTTTGTAATAGCTCCAGCAGCACAGTCTAAATTTTATGCACGTGCAGTACCTCATTAAGCATTGCCACTGAAACTCTATGTACATGCAGTAGCTCATTGTGTACTACTATCAGCGTTGTAGTTCCTTATTTAGCTGCCACTTTGGAAACGTGTATGATTATTCCAAATTAGGAAGAACCTCTGCCTCCAAACCACAGACTGAACCTGGGGTATCTCCAGAAACCTCATTCTCCTAAGCTAGTACTTTGGCCTTTCTACTTAGAAGCAGACTAATTACATAACATGGTGGTACCATCTTCACCACATCCTCTCCAATCATCCCTTGTGTTCTTCTCCAGATACTATGCACAGAACAATAAACTGCACCTATTGCTTTGGATACTGAGGGTGATGTTGCCCGCTGTGTATTTTATTGATTCATCTGGTTTATGTCCCTCCTTTCCCCAAGAAAGGGACTCAGGACAGCTTACTGTTACATAAAAGAAGCACAACAGAAACAGAAAATGGATATAAGCATGAAAAGATTTGCAAAAGCTCATTGAAAGACCCAGTAACTTATGCGAATGCGCCACCTGCCTAGCTGAAAGCCACTTTTGCTGTAAAGGAGGGCAGCTGATTGAACAGAAAGGTCCTGGCCGGTGGGTGGAGCAACTGCAAAGAGGGGAACAGCTGAGCCTCCCTCTGGAGAGAGTGGTACAACCTGGAAGCCACCACTGAGAAGGCCTCGCTTGTGTCTTTTGCAAATATGACTGGGAGAGAAGGAAGTTTCCCTGGAGATCTTCTACCTCAACAGGTTCTGGCAGAAGAATAAGATCCTTCAAATAGGCTGCATCCAAGTCACATAAGTCGTATAACTTATGAGACATAGGAAGTGCCTTGAACTGTGCCTGTGTGGACACCCCCTCTCACTGCAACTTTGATTTAGCAATTATATAGAGATAGCCAATGAATTCGACATGTACAGCAAAGTCCAGTATGTAGGTAATGGTTCCCCTTGAGATTTAGTCCATTCGGGTCCGACTCTAGGGCGCGGTGCTCATCCCCGTCTCCAAGCCATAGAGCCAGCATTTGTCCATAGACAGTTTCTGTGGTCACATGGCCAGCGCGACTAGACACGGAATGCCGTGACCTTCCCACTGAGGTGGTCCCTATTTATCTACTCCCATTTTTATGTTTTCAAACAGTTAGGTTGGTGGGAGCTGGGACAAGCGATGAGAGCTCACTCCGTCCCGTGGATTCGATCTTACGACAGCTGGTCTTCTAACCTTGCAGCACAGAGGCTTCTGTGGTTTAACCCACAGCGCCACCACGTCCCATGAATTCCACATGTACACAAAGTCCAGTATACAGTGTGCCTTAATGAACCGTGGGAAGGCAGCCATTGCACCCCACTACAATGCCTTCCCTGCCTTTAGCAAAGGTGCGATAAAACCATAAAATGCTCCCGCTTCTTCCTCAAGGAACATCAAAGGGAGATCCTGGGAAAGGAATTGCCCAGGAACAGCTTGGGAAGAAAGATCAAAGGAATGCCAATCTAGATTACTCATGTTATGGCCCATTGTGTGTTTCCTATATAGCTGTGTACTGTCTTCAGTTCTGTCCACTGTCTTTGCATGCCTTTTGCGGTTGGCTGTCTCTCCCGGCCAGTAGGAATAGTGTATTGTCTTCAGTTCTCTCCACTGTCTTTGCATGCCTTTTGCAGTTGGCTGTCTCTCCCGGCCAGTAGGAATAAACGTTTTCCTAAACTTTCAATATGCCTCACTGCAAATCCTGAAGTGAAATGTTCTCCATACCTGGAAACAGACAGATCAGCTCGGGAAAGAGGCTTTATCTCTGTCTCCGTGGAAGTAAGCAGGTGTGCCTCAAGCCACCCCTTGTGTGAGACTTCCACTGCCCCGTTTGTCCCCGGCTGTCCCTTCGCTGAACTTTTTTTGCAGACGCACTGCAGAAATGCCACTGGAACAAGTAGCCAGCAACGATGATGGATGGCCCGGGGAAAATCAAACAGTAAGAAATAAAGCCGGACGGAACCAGAGGGGCTCCAGGGTGAACATAATAATATTCCCCAGGCTGTTGGAAAGCAATAGTCATGGGGGGGGGACCCCCAGAGACTGTGAGCGAGAGTAGGGTTGTGTTCTTTGAGAACTGATGGTCAAGCCCAGGGGGCAGGAAAATAAAGGGGAAAAAAAAAGAAAAACAATATTTGATAATCCATCATTAAAAAGAGAGAGTGAGAGAGCGAGCAAGGTTGTCAAGCAAGCAGGTTTTCCGTGCGCTTATATAATTAATGTACAGTAGTAAAAGGAGAGACAGTGGTGCACTCTGCGTGGGAAGGAGATAAATTTAGATCAAAGCAAGCCGAAGCAGAACAGGGGAGAAGGGAGATGCATAATAACAGGAGACATTTTGTGGAATTAATATTTGGGGAGAGAAAAGGGGGAGGTGGATGCAGGACGAAGCCTTAAAGAACACCTGTGTTTGGGAAGTCTTTTGGGGTGACTTATCTGGCAAAGCATGCACTCCAATTTTTTGTTTCAAAGTAAACCCATTTGAGTAGATATGTTCCCTAGCCCCTCCCAAAAATGCCTCCTGCTTCTAGCATCTAGTGGCAGGCTGAAATCCAACAGGAAGAGACTTATGACCATAAAGTGTGTGCAAAGGCGCTGGGGCAAATGTTGAAATACAGGGACTTGGTCTGATCGGTCCCCTATGGACACTGCTGGGGTGAGTCCCCAAATTGCACACAGCTGAGTTAATTTGTGACAACAAGGGGCTTTTGCCTCTGCCGGGAGCAGGTCTTTTGCACAGCTAATGGATCCCAGTTTCCTATTCAAGCTTTTACAGCGACACTTTCAAACCAACAGTTCAAGATTCTGAAAACTCACTACCAGTGTTAATAATATACTTTTAATTTTCTGTGATCCCTTTCACTCCATCCTGCCACCACTTTCATCATGCGCGGGAACACATAAAACCGTACGGAAGCCTGCTCTTCTCCCTGACCTTATCATTTCACTTCCTTACTTTCACCTCTTAATACCACTGGTTAATTGGTTCCAATGAGTTCAAGATTCTGAAAACTCACTACCAGTGTTAATAATATACTTTTAATTTTCTGTGATCCCTTTCACTCCATCCTGCCACCACTTTCATCATGCGCGGGAACACATAAAACCGTACGGAAGCCTGCTCTTCTCCCTGACCTTATCATTTCACTTCCTTACTTTCACCTCTTAATACCACTGGTTAATTGGTTCCAATGTCATAGAAAGCTAGACTGAGCTTATGGTCTTAGGGCAGTATATGCATCTACCCGGAGGCCATAGGTCCCATCAGAGCACTCCCAGTTCAATTTCATTGAATGACGACTGTATAGAAGCTGCATCACACCAGAATTTCTTTTAATTCCATGCTAAAGGCACATCTTGTTTTAAAGCAGAACCGTTCTATTGAGAGGCTTCTGGCAGCAGCATTCTCCCTTAAAACAAGGCGGCACAGTCTATATTCACAAGGTGAAAACGCTGTGACTTAACATAGGGAATTACACACTAGACTCAGCCCATTGAATGAATGAGGATCTGGGGAGTCAACTCCTCCAGGAGTCCCATGGACTAAACAGGTCTACTGTAGTTCAACGTACTATACTGAGCAACAGGATCTTGGCCATTGTTTTCAAACAAAGTTGCAGCAAATTTCATGGCAGCCTGCTTCAAGCAATATGTTGGTCATTTTAGTGGGTCATCAGAAGCTGTGTGTGTGTGTGTGTGTGTGCTCATAGAAAGCTAGACTGAGCTTATGGTCTTAGGGCAGTATATGCATCTACCCGGAGGCAATAGGTCCCATCAGAGCACTCCCAGTTCAACTTCATTGAATGACGACTGTATAGAAGCTGCATCACACCAGAATTTCTTTTAATTCCATGCTAAAGGCACATCTTGTTTTAAAGCAGAACCGTTCTATTGAGAGGCTTCTGGCAGCAGCATTCTCCCTTAAAACAAGGCGGCACAGTCTATATTCACAAGGTGAAAACGCTGTGACTTAACATAGGGAATTACACACTAGACCCAGCCCATTGAATGAATGAGGATCTGGGGAGTCAACTCCTCCAGGAGTCCCATGGACTAAACAGGTCTACTGTAGTTCAACGTACTATACTGAGCAACAGGATCTTGGCCATTGTTTTCAAACAAAGTTGCAGCAAATTCCGTGGCAGCTTGCTTCAAGCAATACGTTGGTCATTTTAGTGGATCATCAGAAGCTCTGTGTGTTTGTGTGTGTGTGTGTGTGTGTGTGTGTGTCTGTCTGTCTGTCTGTCTCTGTGTGTGTGTGTGTGTGTGAGAGAGAGAGAGAGAGAGAGAGATCACTTGGGAGCAAAACACTGGGAGTGAGGGAGTGAGGGGGAGAGTGATGCAGCCAAATGCTTCCCCCATCCATTGCTCTCCAGTATAACTTCCCCCAGCTTCTTCCCTGCACACACTGGAATGCACTATTTTCTCCATGCACACATTATGTTTTGTGCACCCATTAAAAATGCTACTGTGGTACACCCTAAAAGCATCATGTATTTATTTAAGAGGCTCTCAGGTCTTACTGTCCTTAGGCAACATTTGCTCATAAGAGGGGGAACACCAGAATATAACAACCCAGAGGGATTTCTGTGGTTTGACGCTTGCATTAAGAAGCTCATGGAATTTTCTCCTGTGTAGGAAAAAAGAGAGAGACCCAAATCCTTCTGTAAAGCAGCAAAGGAATCCTTTCCAGCCTGGATTCATTCATTCAAATGATGGAAGATGTCTGATTAAACAAATACAAAATAAAGCGGATGCGGTGGTTTTTAACATTTAAAAAAAAAGAAAAGAAAAAGCTTTCATTCAGCCAGAGAACAACGTTCTCTGCTTTCTGGGTCACTATTCAAAATATTCAAAGATAGCAATCATTCAAAGAGGGTGGGAAAGCGGGGGCTGCAGAAA